GCCTCGGGCCTCCTTTGCACGCCTGCTTTTCTGGTCAAAAAAGCCGAGAAAATGGTGTCGGCGGAGTTGTCCGCGCCTGGGAAACGTCTCGGGGTGCGCTGCCCCCCAGCAGTGCTCGCCGTCCCGTTGGCTCTGAAAGAGACCCCGGCCTCGCAGCGGGGACCCTACGAAAAAGCCGTTTGTGCGGCCTGGTTTCCATTGCCGCTGCCGTGGGAAACCCGCGATGGGAAACAAAACCAAAGCGTGCATCCGAGTGGTCGTTTGCTTGCCCAGAGCTGCTTGGGTTTGAGGTGGTGAAAACAAGAGGCGTGTCGTGTTTGCCCCTTGTCTGGAAAAGTTTTAGCTGTCATCAGCATCTAAAGAAAAAGGGTGGAACATCTCCCGATGTGAGTAACACGTGTATTTTAAAAACGTGTCAGTTTCTGTGAATTACTTTTCAAGGCAGATGTTCCTTTCTTTTTCCTGCTTGAAACAGCATTCACCGGCCTTAGCATTCAGGAACAAACACGTCAGGGCACATGAGGCAGCTGACTTGGATTAGACGTGGCAGTTTCAGATTTATAGAATCTCATGAGCCTCTGTCGACGTATTTATTTATTTTAAGCCCATTTTCTTCACTTTTGTGTAATTACTTATTCTTTCTGCAACTTTAGAATCTTGAATCACAGAGTCGCTCGGTTGGAAAAGCCCTCTGAGATCATCACGTCCAACCGTTCCTGTCTACCCCCTAAACCATATCCCTAAGTACCTCGTCTACCCGCTCCTTAAACACATCCAGGGATGGTGACTCCACCACCTCCCTGGGCAGCCTGGTCCAGCTTCTGACGACCCTCTCAGTAAAGAACTTCCTCCTTATCTCTAACCTGAACCTCCCTTGGCACAGCTTGGTGCCATTTCCCCTTGTTCTATCCTCCATCACCTGGGAGAAGAGACCAGCACCCACCTCTCTACAAGCTCCCTTGAGGCAGTTGTAGGTGGTGATGAGGTCTCCCCTCAGCCTTCTCTTCTCCAGGCTAAACAACCCCTAGAGAAGAGAAGGCTGAGGTTTAGCTTTGTTAATAGCTTGTGGTTTGAAGCCGTGGCACCCATCATTTCTCACTGTGTCTTTCATTGGCTGTGCCTCTATTAGCAGGTATTTTATTTTATTTTATTGTTCTAGGTAACTGTTATAGTCCTTTCTTACAGTTCTCTGTAGGTTCTCTCTCTGGGGTTTGGGGTTTTCCTTGAATATTTTTCTGAAGCAATGCCCATCATCTTATGTGCCTCCCTGTGGGGACACTTTAACTCTTGAAGGGTTGATGTTTGTTTTGCAGATTCCGATTCTGGATCGGAGTCCGACTCCGATCAGGAGAACGCTGGCTCTGGCAGTAATGCTTCTGGAAGCGACAGTGACCAAGATGATGACAGAGAGGCAATAAAACCCAGCAATAAGGAGTTATTTGGGGATGACAGTGAGGACGAAGGGGCATCCCATCACACGGGGAGTGACAACCACTCTGAAAGATCCTACAATCGCTCTGAAGCTTCGGGACATTCTGAGCACGAAGATAATGATCAGTCAGACGTGGACCAGCACAGTGTTTCAGAAGCTGCTCATGATGATGAGGAGGATGATCGTGGGCACGGCTCAGATGAAGGCAGTCATCACTCAGAGGGAGATGGTTCTGAGAAAGCACATTCAGAGGATGAGAAGTGGGGCAAGGAGGACAAAAGCGATCAGTCAGACGATGAGGAGAGGCAGCAGAACTCGGATGATGAGGAGAGACAGCAGAACTCTGACGATGAGGAGAAAGTGCAGAACTCTGACGAAGATGAAAGGCCACAGATATCTGATGATGAGGAAAGACTCCAGAACTCGGACGAGGAGAAAATGCAGAACTCTGATGATGAGGAGAGGCCGCAGGCTTCAGACGAGGAGAAGATGCAGAACTCGGATGATGACGAAAGGGCCCAGCATTCTGATGAGGAGAAGATGCAGAACTCTGACGATGACGAAAGGGCCCAGCACTCCGATGAGGAGGACCAAGAGCATAAATCTGGTAGGACTGAGTACAGTAGTAATGATTTGCTTCTGGTTTGAGCTCTCTTTGTTGTTTCATTTATATTGGCCTGAAAAGATTTAGACTTCAATATAAAGGCATTGCTTGTAATGTTTTTTTAATGCAGCGCTTTAAAATTCATTTCATCTGCATCAACTTATTAATGTAAAGGAATTTTAAAATGCGTAGAACAAAGTTTTTAATTTGCTGAGAAGAATTTACTCCTTGTAGAGTCTGCGAGGGGCAGCGATAGCGAGGATGAAGTTCTGCGAATGAAGCGAAAGAAACCGATTGCGTCCGATTCCGAAGCGGACAGCGATACGGAAGGACAGAAAGGTGAATGGTGGTGGGGTTTTGTGGCTTCTTGGTTCATTTAATCCTCACTTTAAATCTGCTACAGATCCTGATAAACTGGATGGCGCTTGCTATACGGTGTAACTGTAGTGCCATGGAAATCACAACACAGTACAGGAGGAATCACAGAATCCCAGACCGTTAGGGATTGGAAGGGACCTCCAAAGCTCATCCAGTCCAATCCCCCTGCCGGAGCAGGAACACCCAGATGAGGTTACACAGGAAGGCGTCCAGGCGGGTTTTGAATGTCTGCAGAGAAGGAGACTCCACAACCTCTCTGGGCAGCCTGTGTGGGGATGTACCCGCTGTATTTCTGCTGTTATCAGTTTTTCAGTTACCTCCATGGCAGACAGAGCTTTCCTTCTGTGAATGTTGTTTCACACATTTTTTTACTGCGTGTTGTTAATGGTGCCTCTAATCAGAGCGGCCCAGAGAGCCTATACTGGGTTTTGTGGTGTTTAGCTGGCTCAGAAAGAAGCGCTGATTCTTCTGAGAAGTAAAACTGCCAAAATGTGTAATAAAGTTGCTGTTTATATACTTATATTGTTATATTTAAGTTGTTTACTAGAGTAGAGGATGAGCTTATACTTGTAATTCTTCTGTTGCCATTTTTCATCTAGATGCTCTTATTTGATGGAGACTTTCCAGGAAAACATACCTTGAATCCTTAGGTTAAAAATACGTGGGAAAACTGCTTTGCAGGATAAGAGAATAATGTGTGTTGCTTCAACATTCACAATTTCTAACATTTGTAGGTGATTTTAAGTGATAATAGAAGTGATAATGTTTTTCCTACGCATACATACCTATGTGTGCCTATATATGAGTATTTTAAAACAGTCATTTTTCTGCTCAAGAGCACGCAGACGTCATGGATCTGTTTGGAGGCGCAGATGACATTTCCTCAGGGAGTGATGGAGAAGACAAGCCACCAACTCCGGGACAGCCCATTGTGAGTAGACTTGAAATAATTAACACTCCATTCCTCTCTGCGGTGCAGAACAGTGACTGAGTTGGAGGATATTTTAGTGAAAAAGATGCATTAAGTAAGCACTGCAGATAATTTTGCCCTACCTATAAGAATTATTCAAGTCTTATACACCAGGTGGCTTCATTGCTCCTTTGCCCTTTCCGTACTGCCTTTGGTCTCTTGATTTTTGCACTGGTATTTGAGATCACTTCACATGGCACATGACAAGGCTGAATTGAATTGCTTTCTCTGAAAACGTGTGCACTCTTTTACCCAAAGCTTCCTGATCTCTCTGTGCATACGGATGGCATTCCTTTAAACAAAATGCAAGTGCTTATTGCAGCAACAGTAGCCACGTAGACTTTTTTTTCCCACTTATGCTCCTATTCTCCTCTTATTTTTTTCATTAGGATGAGAATGGACTGAGTCAAGAACAACAGGAAGAAGAGCCTATACCAGAGACTAGGATAGAGGTAGAAATACCAAAAGTAAACACAGACTTGGGTAATGATTTGTATTTTGTGAAGCTGCCCAACTTCCTTAGCGTGGAGCCCAGGTAATTGTACATAAAATACGTAATTGATCAGGGGTTTTTTAGTGTTTCCCTATATTGCTTTTGTTTTAGTCATATAAATAAATACGTTGGCCTTATTTAAAATGCTTGGCATTAGGATGTATGTGCACTAAGATGCTCACTTTTGATTGTGATCAGTCAATAGCAGTATCTGTTGTTATCTAATCAAGTGCTAAGTAACATTCGTAAGAGCTTGGGTTTCAGCTTGATTGAATAACTTTTTGTCCTTAAAAAAAACCCAAACCAAAATACAATTTGATTGAAAGCATGTGCTGTCAGTGGAGTTTTAAACATAGGTCCAGGCTCTCAGAGATGTGAAAGCCAAACGCACAGGATCTTTATGCAATGCTGAGTGCTAAAAATGTCATTTTGAATTTTAAAGTAAGCCCTTTTTTATTTGTGTATGATAAATACACTATTTAACTATGAAGAGCCTGGTTGCTTATTTTCCTACTTAACCAACCCAAGCTAAAGAAATTTTCTGGAATTCGTAAGGAGAAACAAAATGAATTGCTATTAGAGCGTGTGGTGTTAGGTGGACTTTAAGGCCAAACCTTCAGCACCTGCAGCAGATTGCTGTTAAATGTGCCTCTCTGAGTGTTTTGTTAAGCGCCCTTATTGCATTGTTTACTAGGGGTGTTGTGAGCTGGCAGCGCAGCCTTGTTTCTGTTCTCTGTTAGATCATTTTTCTTGGCTTTCATGCTATAGGCTGTTTCAGGAGGGGACTGTTAAGAATGCAGTTAGTGGCTGTCATCAGTGAGAGAAGTCCTGGGGAGCTTTGGGGGTCAGACGGGACTGCAAATAGAATTGTGCAGTAGCAGAGTCTGTTTATCACTTCTTGCCCTTGCAGCAGCCTGGAAACTATTAGGAAGGAGGCTAGGGAATGGCCTTCCCCCGTTCGCTCCCACCATCAGGTTTTGGAAGAAAGAGAGGAAAAACAATCTCATTTTCCTTTCCCTTTGGTTATTTTGAGATTCAAATTAAAAAAATTACAAGTAATGTGGTCTTAGAAAATCCCTAATTCACCACATTTAGAAGATGATAATTTTCTTTTTCTTTTCTCTGTACAATACTGTAGGTGTTTTTGTTCCAGAATTAGCCCTGACCTCATCACCCTGATAGTAAGGAAACAGTATTTTCTGAGGCAGACTTGCTCTCTTTAGCTAGAGCCGTTTAGAGGGTCTGAATGTTAATTGCTGGGAGAGCAGACACTTGGGAAGGCCTCCTGTGGTGCAGAATCAATGCAGTAAATTAGGGTACTGCAGAAATGGCTGTCTCACAGCTGCGGTGCCCGCTGCTCTGTGCAGGGTATAATTTCAAGCACCTGTTATTTTGCACAACTCTAGGATAATCTGGATGAATTTTTAGAAGAATAAAGACTGTAATATATGATTTATTGCAGACCTTTTGATCCCCAGTATTATGAAGATGAATTTGAAGATGAGGAGATGCTTGATGAAGAGGGCAGAACCAGGTTAAAGCTGAAGGTAGAGTGTTAATTTTCCTTTTCTTTTACACAGTCTTTAACCTTCATTTCTTTGCATCATGCAGCAAATTACCTAGCCTTTCTGACTGCCATTCTTGACCTATATGGACTGTGTTTTACCACGCTATTCATTACTGTGAGTTAGAACAAGTGTTTTGTTTTTCTCCCCGCAGGTGGAAAACACAATACGATGGCGGATGCGACGAGATGAGGAAGGGAATGAGATCAGAGAAAGTAACGCACGGATTGTCAAATGGTCAGATGGAAGGTTCGTTTGGGCTTTCTGCTGTTGGAGGAATACAGTTGTTATTACAGTAAAACGCCTGGCGTGCAAAATTGGAAGGACAACAAACTTTTCTGTCAATTCTGCACAGAGAAATAGTTGTAGTCTCAGTGCTTTGGAAATTTTACACTCTGCTTAGTTTGCATTGAAATATAATTATTGGCTACATGTAAAAAGGAAACATGACAGCTTTCTTAATTTATAAATGAGACAAAGTAGACTGTGGTGGCTTCATCAAATAACTGACACGTGAATCTCTTTTAAGCATGTCTCTCCACTTGGGCAATGAGGTCTTTGACGTGTACAAGGCACCGCTACAGGGAGATCACAACCATTTGTTTATCAGACAAGGGACAGGTCTACAAGGCCAGGCTGTTTTCAAGACAAAGTTAACCTTCAGGTAAGCATGCTATGCTACATCAAATGTTGACACTTGTTCTGCAATTACCTGTTGTAACTGGTGTATAAAGATTAGAGATACCAGTTCATAAGCTTTCAGAGCTTAACTGTTTAATAAGAATGTGCTGTTTTCCAGAGTCAGTATCTTGGTAAGATTTGTCCTAAATTAGGCGTCCCAGTTTGAAAGGTTATAAGCCATTCACTGCAAAATACGTCAGCTGTGTGTATTTTTTATATATATATTTTCTTAATTTGCATTTTGAAGTGCCAGTCCTCATCCAAATTGGACAGAGTATTAATATTCTCTGAAGTGACCTTTCTTCTGATGCACAGTTGCTATCAAGACGATGATTCTGTCTCGGCATGTTGATGTGAGAGTGATTATTTAGACTGATAACGGGCTGCAGATAGTTTGCTCGTGGAGGAATTGATGTCTCCAGTAGCTGTTACAATGCACATGAATTAAAAAAGTGTGATGCTTTTACTTTTGTGCAGTTGAGCCTTTGAAATCTTGAGTACGCTGGTCCTGCCGTTGTCCTTTAAGAACGGATGCGTTCCTTGAAGAAGTATTTAACCTATATAAATTTTTTAACAGGCCACACTCTACGGACAGTGCCACTCACAGGAAGATGACTCTGTCTCTGGCAGACAGATGTTCAAAGACCCAGAAAATTCGTATTCTGCCAATGGCAGGTCGTGATCCAGAGTCTCAGCGCACAGAAATGATTAAGGTATTGTGTCATGGGACTCTCTTATCTGCTGATGTAATCTGAAAACTCACAACTGCAATATACCTGAACATTTCTGAGCTTTATGAAACACAGAGTGTGTTTTGGAGTTAGACGAGAGTTATTAGAGGTGCAGTTTGCATAACCTTGCAGATCGCAAAAAAGATCAGAGTATGTACAGTCTTTACACTGCTGAGGAATTATTTCACAAGCTACAGTAGAATACAAGGTGCTCTTGCATAGGTTTGTTGGGTTTGGGGGCTTTTTTTTGGCTCAGTCTTTATATATTGCTTCTTCCCTTGGACAGAAAGAAGAGGAGAGATTAAGAGCTTCCATCCGTAGAGAGTCTCAGCAGCGAAGAATGAGGGAGAAACAGCATCAGCGTGGTCTGAGTGCAAACTATTTGGAACCTGATCGCTACGATGAAGAGGATGAGGGAGATGATGCAATCAGTCTAGCAGCTATCAAAAACAGATACAAAGGTGGCATCAGAGGTAATCATAAACACTAACAGCATATAAGTAGGGGCTGTGTGATTCAGATGGATTAATTTCACAGGAGAAACCTGATTAGACTGTATTTTGTCAGCTCATTTCGGACATGAGGAGACATGAATTCAGTCTGTATCAGTTTTGTTTACTCTGGAGTTAAATTCTGCCAGCTTTCTGTGGGACTAAATGTAAGACAATTATATTTAATGCGCTCATTTTCCCACCAATTTCAGATGAAGATAAATGTTTGTCTTTTCATTTTTCTCTGTAGAGGAACGTGCTAGAATCTACTCTTCTGACAGTGACGAAGGCTCAGATGAAGATAAAACACAAAGACTACTCAAGGCAAAGAAACTTACGAGTGATGAGGTAAGAAGAGGGTTTTGTTCTTAAGCTACTCATTTTCAGTCAGGAACATTTCCTGCACCGGATCTGGTTTTTAAAGCTGAGACTTTTGTAGTCTCATTTATGCTGTGATGAATGTGTTATTTGACTTGGCATGCTTTCCATGGTAATTAATCACCAATTTCTTATACACCGCATTAGTTCATAGACCCGAGCGATTCCCAAAGGAGGTCACCGTTGTTATTGCTGATTTAAGGATAGAAAAATTTATGCAGAGTTATGTAAAATGACTTTAGCAAAATTATGCAAGGAGTAAGAAGACTTAATATTGGAATCCTAGTGCAGTGTTTCCTAAGCTACATGGTCCTTTCTTGTTATAATGGAAATAAAACAAGCATTTTTCACATCGAATTCCTGCTCTTTTTAAATAGAAGAGTTAAAAAACTGAGTTTAGAAGAGTTAATGCCCATTGCTGAATAGACATTATCCATCACCCAAGTATTGTCATGAACATTAGGCCATGATCAAATGAACTGTTAGCTACAGTAGTAGTGCTGTTTCCTCTTCTAAAATTTTTTATTGGTTTGTAGTTTATCACTGCTGGGAGTAAGCAAATGGATCTTTGCATATACCCTGTCTTGAGGTTTAGTTCAAGTAATGTCACTTCTGATACAGCGCTGTGGTGTAACACTCTACAAAATTGACAGATATCGTTTCTGAGATTCAACCTTAACTCTTAGATAGAAGTGGAACCAGTAAGTGTGTGGGCTGTGCCCTATCCCAGCTATACGCTACAGTACTAGTGCTGTTTCCTCTTCTAAAATTTTAAGTGTTTATTGGTTTGTAGTTTATCACTGCTGGGAGTAAGCAAATGGATCTTTGCATATACCCTGTCTTGAGGTTTAGTTCAAGTAATGTCACTTCTGATACAGCGCTGTGGTGTAACGCTTTACAAAATTGACAGATATCGTTTCTGAGATTCAACCTTAACTCTTAGATAGAAGTGGAACCAGTAAGTGTGTGGGCTGTGCCCTATCCCAGCTATACTCGTGCAGTTCATTTTCCCAGCCCTTGCTCCTCATTGTAAAATGCTTCTGTGGCAGAGCACCACAGGACGTTTACTGTGTGCCTTGGGAAACAGGGAAAAGGGAATGTTGGAATTCATGACAGATGGCATTTGACACTTGTTTTCTGGCTTCCCACTGCCCTCTTAAGAGGTGAGCTCTGGTAGTGTTTGTTTGTTAGCAGAAGTTGAATCGTTTCTTTATCAGGCACTACTGGTTGCTCGTTCATGGTAGAGCAGTGTCAGGATTTTGGAGTTCCAGTCTCAGAAGCAAAGGTCCAGTCAACAGCATTTCTTTGCTGCTTGAGCAATGGTAGCCTCCATTTTAAAATTACCTGACTTCAAGGTAACGTTCCCAGCAGGGCCATGGAGGGGTGCTGCAGCGTCACAGAAAACCCCACTGATGCACAACTACTCACTTGTAGGAGGTTTGATATTTGTAATATGCATCTGCAGACATGGAACACGGACTTCCCTGTACACAGACCTCCTCTGAGGTGCTTGCAGTCAACACCACAGCACAAATCTTTGTCCTGGTAACAATTTGTTACCATTACTGAAAAATCTATTATTAATACCCTATCACCACACGACAAGCAGTTTTACTGTAGTTAATGGGGATATTCTGCTGAACAGCAGGATGAATCATTTAACAGCGGCCTGGCGAGATTACAGGAGAATGCTTCTTCCTCAGAACAGGCAATCATTGAGATTCCCACCCCTGCTTTCTGTTTTCTATGCATAAAATTCCTTCCTATTTGAGATTCGCACTGTCCTGACTTAATAAGTCAATATAGAATAAAATACTTTGAATAAAAAAATCTATTCATTGGAGTTCTGAAACTTTGCCTTTGCTGCCGCTTAAAATTCAAATCCGTTGCTTTAAAACAAACAAACAAAACCCCAAAACCAACAAGTGGAGAAAAGGATGAGGTTACTTAGACCTGAGGATCTCTTTAGAGATACTCTTCTTTCTAAACAGTAATTGAGTTGCCATGCGTCCTTCGTGTCCAAGTTGATGAGTTTTCATTAACAGCTAGTTATTTGTACTTTGATTCAGTATTTTCATAGCGTTCTGATTTGAAATGGTGTTGGAAGGATGGTTTAAACTGAACTAGTGTAAATGCACACAGAATAAAAATCAACCCCTTGACTATATTTAAGTGCTAAAAATTGGGCATCCAGCCTATAAAAGTCATTATGGTGTCGCTAGCAAACAGGTAACTAGGCAATGATTTATGTTCTTCTGACCAGCTCTTTGAAGCCTCCTAAACTGTTACATTTCTTGGACAGTAAATGGTGGCGTTGATTCTCAGTACAAGTGGCTTCTCATCAGTCTTTTCCCTTTATGCCAGAGAGCGGTTTGGTTTGGTTTGGTTTTTAAATGAAGAAAGATCCAAAATGCCAGCCCGCTTGCTGCATTTCTTTGCTTCAGTAGCTTTAATTTCGGGCATACAAGTGTCTATAGCCTGAAAACTTAGCAAAGCTTCACCGGGTGCCCAAAGTGAAAGCTTCTGCACGTTGGAAAATTCATTACAAATTCTAAGAATTACCCATGCTTGTAAGACTTGCTGTGGGTGATATCGTGTGTGCCGTACGTCCAGATCATGGCATAAATTACTTCCACGCGTAGCTGAGTTTGAAGCGGATCTGGTTGCACGTCGGTGCACGTTGACCCTCTCAGGCTGGGGTTTGAGACTGGTAGCAATGCTGATTGAACTCCAAGTACCGAGACGTAAGGAGTCCTGCATCACAGTCACACAAGCTGCTTCTGGAGAGAGTCTGACTGAGCTCCAGAAGGAGTTTGTTTCCCATGAGATCAAGCAGACATGGAACAATCTCCCAGGGGAAGTGGTGAATTCCCCTGCACTGGTCAGTTTTAGGAGCCAGCTTGACAGGTGCTGACCCATCTCATTTAAACGATGCTTTTACCTTGAGGGGTTGGACCGGATGATCCTTGTGGTCCCTTCAACCTGGGATTCTGTGACTCTATGAAAATGGAAAAACTAGAAGTAATCATTTTGCTTTTCTTACAAGGCAGACATTGAGGTCTTTTTGTTGTTCTTCCGAGTTTTTTATTTTAGCTTGAAGTGTGTTGGTTTATTTTTGTCCTTTTTTTGCCCTTAGGAAGGTGAACCTTCTGGAAAGAGAAAAGCAGAGGATGATGATAAAGCAAGTAAGAAGCATAAGAAATATGTGATCAGCGATGAAGAGGAAGATGATGATGATTAATATTAAGGAAGCACAAAAGTTGATTTTTTTTTTATATATATATTTATATATATATTGTACAGTTCTCTTACAGCAAAGATGTAAGTAACCATAATGGGGTTATTTTGATAAAGGAAAATTCCACTGAAGTCTGCATTTCTGGTGTGAATAAAGTTTTTTTGACTTCCTTCTACCTTTTAAGGTTTTTCTCTTGTTGCACCAGGGATCATCACAGGACCGGGTTTTATCTTGCACTGTACATTTCAGTTCTGGCAATCGTAGTAACCGGTTATCCAAGTGAATTAATCAGTGACTTTTACTGAGTTCATTAGGAGAAATCATTCTAACCTTTATAAAATGCTTAAATGGTAAGTTTCCCTGACAAAGGTATGGTGATTTAGCTTCCTGTGTGTATGGAGGGCTTGGAAGAACATACGGGTGGTACAGTATAATTCAGGTTTTTTCCTCGATATTCCTTATTCCCTATTGTCTGTGCACAGTTTATTACTCTGCTGGTATATTCTGGTGACTGAAAATATTTCTTACCATGTTTAAGTAGCCTGTGAAGTTCCTGCAGTTAACTGATCCTGTAAGACATTTCTTTTTCACGCATTGAAGCCCAGGATGAAAATCCACATCTTGCCTGAGCATCAGTAACAACAACAGTACTACTGATAACTGGCACATCCTAGTGAGGTAAATGTCAGAGTAAAAACACTTATTTAAACAAAGCTAAGAAATTTCTGCAAGCAGAGATGAAAGTCTCCTTTGAAAGGTGAAATGAACCACAATGCGAAAAAGACATCCTAATAATAACGTCTTGTAATCTCATATCATCCTTGTGGTGATACTTCCAGTTGTTCCTGGCTGGTTTTAGAAACAGGTTTGTTCAGCTGCGAAGTCCTGTTCTGGACAGGATCCTTGCTGCTCTAACACTGTTTCTGAGCACCTGATTCAATGATGCAGTTGTAAAGCAGGGAAAGGCTGGAGGAGACATCTGAATTTCCACACACCTCCCATGTGTAGTTTGTCTCTTGGTTCAAGGGCATTCAGATGTTGCCCGTGTTGCTTTTTGAGCTGACTTTCCACACGCAGTCCTGTGGAGCTGCATATGAGTTGAAAAAGGCAGCAGAAGGAAGACAGAATTAGCTTAATGCCTCTTGAAACAAAACCATCGACAATGTGGGAGTTTTGTGATGTGGATTTCTGTTGCATCAGATGAAATAAAGTAGCTGATAGTTATGTGGAAGGACTGTTACCCATCTCTCCCCTGCCCAGCCGAATTCTGCTTTTGTAGAAAACAGTCGAAGGATGCAAGTGCCTCAGAGAGCGTTTTGCTCTCGTGACATTTCCTGGCTCTTTGAGATACAGCTTTCACCCTGGATGTCTCGTCTCTGTCATCTTTAATGAGGCCAGGAGTTTCTCAAAATACTCTACCTCCGTTTCTCCTGCCCAGAAGGCAGCTGCAGTGAGACAGAGCTCTGCGTGTTAATGGATTCTGCTGAGCAGCTGACTGCAGGTACGAAAACAAAGCGAAAACTTTCAAGTCTGAGTGCCTGAGGAACTCTTCTTTTTTTCTATAATTAAATGGTTGTCTAAGAGTTCCTGCATCTCTTTAATGTGCAGATAAAACCTTTCTCCATCTGCTGGAATTTTGACCCTGTAATCCTCTTAGCGTAGACCTCTGCTGGGAGACTGGTTCCTTACAGGAGGTTACCTGCTTCCCATTTGTAACCTCAGGAAGGAGCCGGCTCTTCAGAAAGGGACTCGTTCTGCACGGATGTAACGTGCTGTACTTTCACAGAAAAACCTCCGAGATACCTCCTAAAAAAACCCCAAATTTGGTGTGTGTGAAAGCACACCGCCATGTCATTGCTGATGTCTTTGCTTTTCAGTCAGTTTAACCGAAGTGTTGGCTGTTTTTATTTTAACTACGCTCCCAAGAGTGAAAATGTTTTAATCACTTTCATGGATTTGATGCTGACTGAGCTTTTACTAAGTAAGTGGGCCACTTTAGCTTCCAAAAATGAGGCTTTTTGTGGATTACAAAGATGAAAGGCAGTAGTTTTTTTACACTGTCGTCTTTTGTAAATTACTCTTTTAAAGTCTTACTTAACTGTGGAATTTGGAAAGTGTTAGCTTAAATTGGTTTAAGGATCGTCTCGTAATTAAAGTCACTTGAATGAACTTAGCCTTATCCTATTTTAGTTGAGTCTGATGTATGATTTTATGACAGTTTCTTGCTATCCCTTTTCCCACCCTCCATGGATGAGAGAATTACTTGGAATGCTTTCATTTTACCCAAATTAAAAATATTAAGCCAAAGGAAAGAAAACGTGGATTGAACTGTGTTTACTCTTGCACTGACTGGTGGGAATATTTCTTCCAGAAAGAATTTACAGCAAAGAAAAATGTATTCAAAGAGCTGGTGCAAGTTCTAGATTTTCTGGCTGGTGGCAGGATGTTGGAGCAATGACCTTGAAACAGTCACTGAAAGCTGTTCTTGGCTATGTGGGTTTGTTGTTCCAAGTACATCCTTCAACTGTATCCTGGTTTCCAGTTGTTGGTTGGGAGTTTTCTTTCTAGTACCGGGTAGAGAATTTTTCTTCTGTATAAGACTGTACA